GGGGGGGGGGGTGTCGGCCAAGGCCATGGCCATGGGCACGACCTGGCCAAATGTCCCCTGGGGCCGCTGGTCGGAGCGGGGGCCCGCGGGGCGGTGCGTTTCAGTGCTGAGGTTGGCTAACCTCGGGGGTCCTAGCCAGGGCACAGAAGCATTTTCCAGAAAGCTGCAGGCTTGAGTTTTTCCCACACCAAGTAGGTCTTGGTCCAGACAAATGACACCTCTTATCTCAGTCCGATCAGCCCAGGTAGAGTATGGGTTCTGCTGGGGGCGCTAAGGCGAGGTCAGCAGACATTCGGAGGGCGAAAGATGAGACTTTCTTTCTATACCTGTACAGATGGACAGTCTGGGAACCCACCCCGGAAAGTGCTACCCTGTCCTACAAGGTCGCTGTGGGTCGGAATAGGGCTTAGATGTCTCAGTCCACCTTCCCTCGGGCAGCTGATGGTTTCGAACTAGAAATTGTTTTCCGGAAAGCTGCAACCTTGAGTATATTACCTGAACAAGTGGGTCTTTCCAACTGCCTCTGAAGGACGGGGAGGGAGTATGCAAATAGGGAGAGTGCAACTCTGACAGGGGATTGGCCAGTCTTGCCATTCCACTGGGTTTTAATCAAACCAGAAAGTCTTTGGACCAAGAAGAAAAAGCCATGGGTGTGAGCTTGCTTTCTGGAGGCGTGGGTGACAGCCGAGGTACTGGAGGCAGCAGCACCCAGACCATGATACAGGGAAGCGGACTTCCCGGCTCACCCCAGAGGAGTAGGCTGGCTTGCAGGGTGAAGTGCCCTTGTACATTGACAGGCACTAAAGGAGCTCTGTGACATTGCTGGAGCAAAGCCGAGCCCATGCTGGGGCGGCCAAGGTCTGGGGAAGTCTGCAGGGACAAAAAGACAAACTGTCCTTAGCATTTCCGATTCTGACTGCTGACGGGTTAACTTCTCTAATAAACATGCTCTGTACTCATGACTGTGTCTGTGAGTTCTGGGTGGCCATTAACGTGGATTCTTGAGCCCTGTAGAGAAGTAGAGGGCTGTGGAAGTTGATGTCAGAATAGGGTACAGAAGGTTGAAAGGTGGGAGGCGTGTCTAACCTCTCCCTCAGAGAAATCATCTTTGGGCAGAGGTGGAATTGCATGCTTCTCCCTTGTGTAGCCAGGGGCATCCACACATGGCTTCTAGACTGTTTCCTCAAATTAAAAAAATAGCCTTATACATATATGATCAATTGATTTTCAGCAAAGGTGTTATGGATTAAATTGTGAGCAAAAATATGTGCTAAAAACCCTGATGGCAAAGATGTTAAGTGCTCAGCTGTTAACCAGAAAGTTGGCAGTTCAAACCCACCAGCTGTTCCTTCAGTTAGAGAGCGGCTCCCAACTGCTGACCTTCCGGATGACAGTCCAATGTCTAGAAGACAAAAGCGCTTTTAAAAGTTTGCAGGAAAAACTCCATTCTTGTTTAATTTTATTTTTCTCTGAATTTTTTGAAGTCCCCTCCTAGGACAGGACTGGTGCAAATAAGCAAAAAAAAAAGACAAAAAATTTAATAAAAACAGACAAAGAACTTGACTGGACAACTCACCAAAAAAAGATATACAAATGGTTAATAAACACAGGAAAAGATGCTCAACATCCCTAGTCCCTAAGGAGTGCCAATCCAAACTACATGAGATACTAATCTACCTCCACTAAGATGAGTCTGTAAAACATTTGCAAATGGGGTGATGAAGGTGGAGAGCAACTGAAAGCAGCATACATTGCTGGTGGATTGTAAAGTGGTATAACCATTGTGGGACAAAAGAAGGTTACAGCATAACTTTCCTCTAGTCCCTACTGCTTCCTCCCCCCCACTATCATGATCCCAATTCTACCTTACAAATCTGGCTAGACCAGAGGATGTACACTGGTGCAGATAGGAACTGGAAACACAGGGAATCCAGGGTGGATGATCCCTTCAGGACCAGTGGTGAGAGTGGTGATACTGGGAGGGAGGGTGGAGGGAAGGTGGGGTAGAAAGGGTGAACCGATTACAGGGATCTATATATAACCTCCTCCCTGGGGGACGGACAACAGAAATGTAGGTGAAGGGAGAAGTCCCACTGTGTAAGATATGACAAAATAATAACAATTTATAAATTATCAAAGGTTCATGAGGGAGGGAGAAGCAGGGAGGAGGGGAGGAATGAGGAGCTCAAATAGAGAGCAAATGTTTTGAGAATGATGATGGCAACAAATGTACAAATGTGTTTGACAAAATGGATGGATGGATGGATTGTGATAAGAGTTGTTCGAGCCCCCAATAAAATGATTAAATTAAAAAAAAATGTGTAGGGAAGTTGGAACAAGTATTTAGGGTTCATATTTAACCTTACTTGAGTGCAAGAAAAGGCTCAAAGACCTTTCGATGACTTAAAAGTGGCACATACAGCCAGTGAAAGTGATTATGATATAAAGCGTTCGTGGCAACTAAATGCTGGCTTAGTCATCTCAAAATCAGAGCAAACTTCATACATTAAAGGGCATACAAGTTGTCGTTAACCCTGGGGGCTGTCTACAGTGGGCTGTTATTCAGCTATAAAGAGAAATGCAGTCAGAGAGCCCTGATAGTGTAATGGTTACTCATTGGCCTGTGATCCACAAGCTTAGCAGTTCAAAACCACCAGCTGCTCTTCAGAAAAAATGAAGGGGTTTTCTACCCCTGTAAAGGGTTACAGTCTCAGAAACTCACAGGGGCAATTCTTCCCTGTCTACAGGTAGGGTCACTACCTATAGAGTTGGCATCGAGAAATGCAGGTTGACGCATGCTGCAATATGAATGACCTTGAAAACACTGTGCTGGGTTGAAGAAGGCCGAATACTGCATGGTTTAGATGAACCATCCCAAAGAGGCAAATCCCCAGAGTCTGAAGGTTGGTTAGGAATTACAGGTGCTGTGGAGAGAGGGAAACGGAGAGTACTTGCAAATGTTTTCGGTGTGGGGAAACAATATTTTGGAATGGTAGTTGTTGAACAATCCTGCGATATACTAAAAATCACTCAATTGGTACATTAAGAGAAAAAGACTTTATGGTGCATTGGGTTGTGGTTTACATTTCAGATCACCTTGTCTTCAATCATTTAAGAACTGTATTAAGCCTCCCACTGGTCGGCTTTGTCTCCCCTCCTTTGCTTCTTGCTCTTGGAGGAGGGCATCATCAATCGCCCCCACTTTAACACATCCTTCCCCTTCCCTCTGGTGCCTCCAGCCCCTGGGAAGCATCAAAAGCTGTTGCTTTTGGTGTGAAAACCTTTATCTTGATTATCTTTTTCCTTCCATAACAATGGCCTTATGTACTATTTGTCCCTTTAAGATTGGTGGCCCCTTCCCTCAGCATAATGTCCTCTAAAGCCACCCTGTCAAGCGTTTCAGTTTCATCGTTTTTCCTGTCCAGTGTTCCATTGCGTGTGCATACCAAGTTCATTCATTCATTCTCCCAAGACGGCTGTTTGCATCCCCTTCCTGGTGTGACTAGTGCTGCCACGACCGCGGAGGTGTAGCTCTCGTTTTGTGTATTTCTCATTTCTGTAGGGTCTAAAACCAAGCACAGGGACTTCCGGGTCCCACCGTATTTCTACTCCCACTTGTTTGAGGAAGCCCCAAAGCGTGCACACATTTGCAGGCCCCCCAGCAGTGTGTGGAGGTTCCAATCTCTGTGTTCACTCCAGAGTTTGTTATTTTCTGGTTTTGCTGCCAATTCCAGGGTGAGCGGTGTCTTCTCACTGTTGTTTTGATTTGCACCTTTCTGATGGCTAGGGATCAGTTGTGAGCATTTCTCTAGTATTTCCTTGTCTAATGTATTGTTGCCAAAAAATTTTCCCCAGCATAGGGGTTCTCTTTTTACTCTTTGAGAAAGTCTTTTGATTCACAGAAGTGTCTTATGTTTAGGTGTCAATCAACTATTTTCTCCTATGCTCGATAGTGTGCTTATGCCATGTTTTAGGGACTTGAAGTTTGTGTCTGTCTTCTCATTGATGATCTTTATAGTTCTAGGATCCACATCTAGGAGTTCATTTTTGTATATGGACTGAAGTAAGCATTGTTTCGTTCTTCTGAAAATGGAAATCT